TATTACGAGCAATAACGATCCACTGTATGCTACATTTATATCTTATCAGACCCGATGTTATGCATCACGCGCCCCATAATATCATACTTTTAAAAACGTGTTTCTTTATGCGGCGGAAAGTCGAGCCCCACCAGCTCGATTCTCCAATCCTCTCGAATCCTATCAACATCCACCAAACGATAGATTACAGGCGTTCCCAAAACACCGCTATCGTTTCAACAGATTTCCATCTTCGTGCGACCCTCCGTAATTACGGTAACGAACAACAGCACCCTGACGGATGTCGAGAAACGGAACGGTATTCATTCCATCCAGCGAGAAAGAAAGAGAAAGAGAAAGAGAGAACGAAAAAAGAAATCTAAAATCTAGGGAAGGTTCTCCCCGGAAAACGTGCATCCTTAAGGGGTCGCCCTAATGTAAAGGACCCTTAAAGACGGACACGAGGGAGTCGCTGGTTAGCGGCACGCGCTCATAACCACGTTTCAGGATGTGGCGCCAACAGCCCAATCGGCTCGTGTTTAACTTAATAACGAACGGAACAGTTTCTGGCCGGCTGGCGCATTAGCTAACTCCTCTTCGACGTTCGGCATGCTCGGCCGTATTTTTAGCGCATGCAACCGGTTGCCTTGCACGGCGCGATCATTGTCGTCGCTTTGCGAAACTGCACCAACTCCTGCGGGGCGGCGTGTCCTCGCGAGATCGGCGACTATACCTACATATATCGTATATCGTACATACGTCCGCCACCTGCACAGACACGCGCGCGCACGCGTCTGAGTGTCGCGCGGCCGCGTTCGCAGAATACACCTTGGTGATTTTTCTGCGCGCACACCGGCTCGCGTTTTGCGTTCGCACGCGCGCTCGAATACCAGATCGAGCGAGTTCGCGTGCGCCTATATACGGACCGAAGATCGTGTATGTGCGAGCAAGGTATACGAGGCGCTGCGAGGATGGAGAGAAGAGAGAAAGAGTGAGTGAGAGAGAGAGAGAGAGAGAGAGAGAGAGAGAGAGAGAGAGAG